TCAGGTCTAATTGTTTCTAGCTTTTTATAGATGCCTGGCATGGGAAAAAAAAAAAAAAAGTCTAGGTCTTTCTTCTTGCCTTATCCTTTTGCTCTATAACTTTTGGCAGCACAGCTGCTTCCTGGTTTAGCGCTGCAGCTAAGTGAGTTAATAAATGCACTTGATTCTGTCTGTAGTGACTCTACAGTTACCGTGTCTGTAGTGAGTCTGGTATGTGACTGCACTGTATTCCCATTTTTGATGTGCTACATAGAGATAGAGGCTGGACTAACAGATGTTAGTTTTTCACTGTGTTTGGCCTGTAATGCTCTCACGCTTCACTAGTGGTTAGAAACTACTGCCACGTAGCTGCCTATTTGGTGAAATCATTCAGGAGTGAAGGAGGGTGAAATCTGTAACTGACTTAGGTGGCAGGGGTCCCTAATGTAGGACAAATGGTATGAGAATGAACAAGCATTCTGTGGTTGACTTGTTAGGTTTTGGTCTGTCGTGTGTTGTCCCATTCTTCTCCCATTTCTTCCCCCTGCCCCCTCCGAAAACATGGAGGGGAGGAGGACGACAGGGGGAGAGATTGTTTTTAAAAAAAATTACTGCAAGAAATGACACAAATTTTATTAAAATGTGAGAAATTGTTAAACCCAAGATGTATTCCATAACACTGTTCTGGATAGTTTGTGCAACTGGATCTCCTTCATTTATGTATTTTGTGCCCCTGTTTATGTACGAAATGCATGGAGGGTTTTAGCTTACAAACAAGCTTTGCAAACAAAACTTAAACATTAGTTATTTGGTCTGTTGCATGTTTTTTTCAGTAATAGTGAATTAAAGGTTGCAGATAAGGTGAAAATTGTAATGTAAGATGAAACTTGAAGAAGCACTTTGCTAAAGTAATCTGAAAGTAGGTTAATCCAAAACTTCATGAATAACTTTCTGGTTTTGTTTTCTGCTTTTGTACCATGTTGAATTCTATCTGTGTTACTGCAGGAAAAATAAATAAATAAATTATACTTTGTTGGTAGTGGGTAGTCTTCATGCTTAAAAAATTTGGGTTTTAAACACTATATTGATTTCAAGTAGCAGGGGAGAGAGGGGGAAAAAACTTCCTGGGGGAACAGTATTCTCATATGGTTATCACCTAAGGTGGGAAAAAGTGTATTAATTATTACAATTTGTACATGCATTTTGCTACACATTAAACTCTTCAGTTATAATTACCCATTTCTGATTTAGAAGCATAATAGGAATTGACAAGTTCAAATATTTGTCTTAAGTGTTAAAGTTGTTCCAGAATCTTGCTCTTCTGATCTTCAGGACTGTGTGTCCAGCCCAAATCTACTATGATTGGTATCTTCTTGTGATTCTTACAGTGTTTTGAATTAAGACATCTCTTTTCTTGGTGGAATTTACTCCTACAAATGTTTAAAACCACTGTTTAAATACATCCTAGGTCCTCATTTTGTGAGGCAAAGCATGCCAGGTAGTTTTCTTGGACTTTTCTTGTCCTGATCACTGAAATAGTTCATTGTTACACCAAGTGAAATTGTAAATTTCTGTACTGTTATTCTAACTGTGAGTTGACTTCTATCTTTTTCTGAGATTATTTTAAAAAGAAAAATATAGTGCAGGAAAAAATTACTATACTGTTTAATATTTGATTTCTTCATTTAATTTTGCAAGCAAGAGTTTAAAAAAAAAAATTTGCCTTTTCCTGATCTGCCTTGTTTCCTGATTTAATTATGGATGGCCAGGGTATTTGTGCCTATTAGAAGTTAGTACTGTTTAATATGAAAAAACTCGATTTTATCTTGTTTAATTGCAAGATCAATAATATGTACAATCAGATGAGAGAAAGTGTTTTCTTGACGTGGGTGGTATGGAGGTCAGTATCCTCAGTAGTTGCTTTTCTTGGTAGTCTTTAACGGTAAACCTGTGAAATTGGTCAGGTAGTGTTCTAAAAATACATCTGTGTTTTTTTTATGGCTGGTTTTTTTTTTTTTATCAAAACCAGCTGGAACAATTAGACCTAAAAGAGTTTTTCTTTTATGGGCTTATTCAAATTTACAGATATTCTGCTGCTGACTTTGTACTCTGAGTATTGTGTAGTTTTGGCCCAGGCCTCTGTCTTTATCACTTCACTATACTGCTTGGTAGGAAAGGAATTGACTCATCTGACAGAGCAGCACCATCAAAAACCTTTTTAGAACTTGAAGAACTGACAACATGAGGAAGACTCGAATCTGCTTCTAGAATAATTTTTGTGGGAAGAAAAATACATCCAGTATCAGTGAGCTATGGACAAAGCTGTTCAAAACACCTTTCCAGTCCTCCGATACTTGGTGATCAACAAATCTTGACTGAGTCCTTGATTAATGTGCAAAAGGTAAAAGTTGGGGATGTTAGAGTGTCGTGGTTTAACCCCAGCCAGCAGCTCAGCCCCACACAGCTGCTCGCTGACTCTCCCCTGTAGGATGGGGGTGAGAATTAGAAGAGTGAAAGTGAGAAAACATGTGGGTTGAGATAAAGACAGTTTAATAGGTAAAGCAAAGCCACGTGCACAAACAAAGCAAGACAGGGAATTTGTTCACCACTTCCCATGGGCAGGCAGGTGTTCAGCCATCCCCAGGAAAGCAGGGCTCCATCGCACGTAACTGTGACTTGGGAAGACAAATGCCATCACTCCGAACACCCCTCCTTCCTTCTTCTGCCCCCAGCCCCTTATATGCTGAGCATGATGTCATATGGTATGGAATATCCCTTTGGTCAGTTGGGGTCAGCTGTCCCGGCTGTGTCCCCTCCCAACTCCTTGTGCACCCCCAGCCCCACTCGCTGGTGGGGTGGTGTGAGGAGCAGAACAGGCCTTGGCTCTGTGTAAGCACTGCTCAGCAGAAACAAAAACATCTCTGTGTTATCAACACTGTTTCAGTACAAATCCAAACTAGCCCTATACTGGCTACTATGAAGAAAATTAACTCTATCCCAATCAAAAGTAGCACAATGAGTTAAGAAAAAACTTTTTTCATGGCAGTTGAATAAATAGTAGTGTTAGGAAGCTTGCTAGTTTTCTAAAAATACCAATATGAATTTATTAAGAAATCACATTGTTAGTGCCTTTGTTGTCCCATACCTAATAGCCAATTCACCAATAATACTTCTTGGATCCTTTGTTATGTTCTTATTTGGTATAAACATAATCTCTCCCTTTGTTTTTCAGACTGTAATTGTCTTGGTCTGAAGATTTGGTTGTTGTTGTGCTGATCTTCCACTATTGATACCTGTCTTGATCCTTTCTAAAGGTTTCATGATTGTCCTGCTTGGAGATGAGAACTGTATCTGAGGGAAGGAGCTGCAGTCTGCTCACATTTAATTTGCTGTTTCTTAATTTAGCATCTCTTGTATTGGTTCATCTGTAAACGTATACCCTTTTCTGTTTCTATACCATTACTGAGCATGATTAATAGTAAAAGTGAATTTGGTTCCTGTTAGAAAGACAAGCTATTTTTGTGATGGTTTGTGACTCTAGAACTTCCTTCATTTGTTTTTTATTAGTCTGACACAATTGGATACTTTAGAAAATATCTCTGGAATTTTTGTTGAGAGTAATTTAAAAGAAAGTGTTGGATGACTTCAACAGAGCAATTTATAACAAGTTATTTGGGTGAGACTTACCTTTAAACTTGTCTCTCTTTGATAATGTTAGTAGATTTTGTGCATCTTACCTTACAGTTTACCTCTGATATTGGAGGTACCTAAAAACTTATGTATGAGCTCATAGCATAAAAAAGAACTGGCAGCTCAAGTAAGTGCAGTTTAATGCTTACAAATCTGTTAGACTTTCTTTTAGAAGCTGAAACATTCTCATCTGTCACTGGAAATCTGCAATAGCCTGGCTCAGGCCAGAATACATCAATAATTATCAGTTACCGAGTTCAGATTCCACAGTTTACTAGTGCTAACGTTACAGCAGCCTTAAATTTAAATCTACTACACCTATGATCACTGACTAACAGATCTGCACGCTGTTGTGCAGAGATGTGGAACACATGTTTATTTGGGTTTCCCTTTGAAATGCATGTGGGTGTTTATTATGTTTTCACTAGCTGGATTTCTAATAGTGTGTATATCATACTTAAAATATTTTTGAATCATTGGCAATTTTGCAGTGTCTAGCTGCAGAGCATGATTCAGATATCTGTATAATTCAGGCAGTGTTTCGTCTATTTCTTTCCTTTCTGTGCTATAGTTCAGCTTCAGGTAATATAGTTCACATTGTATTGCATTCTCTTGCTTATTGAGATATGTTTTCCTGCTTAGGGGGAGAGCGTGAGGTAGGAAAAGTATTCTTGGGTTTTAATCTTAAGCCATTACTTTTCTCTTACCCATTTTCAAACTAGAGAATTTTACTGGATTTTTGACACTGTTTCTGGACATGTAGACTCTGTTTCCATTGAATCTAGAGATAATATGGGGTCTGTGATGGCCCTGAGAATCTTATTTTTTTCATAAGGAACTGTAATATGGCCTCTGAGACTAACTTGTAGGGACTAATTTAAAAAAATCACCTCCTTCTAGGAAGCTAATGAAATAGCTCCTGAAATCTACTCTAAATAGTACCAGAAAGTATTTCAAGAAGCTAATTTTGCCACAGCTTTCTGGATCAGACCTTACACAAGATGCTTCATCCCATTTATAAGAGAAATAAAGGAAGGAATGTTGCAGTTATATTTCCATGATACCTGCAATACATTTGATTAGCGTGACACTTTGGTAATACAGGCACAAACACGATGCTATAAACAAGATGAGGATAGTTAGATTCTAAACCAGACCTGTGTGAGAAAATAATACCAGAAAACAGAAGGGAAGTAATGATCAAAACTCCACAAGTTTAATCTTCGTGTAACATAAGCATCTGAAAAATACTCATTTCTTGTTTTTCCAATTACAGGGACTTGCCATGAGGTGTTGAAGCCTTGTTTCATTGATTCGGAGCCTGGACCTAAATGGCGCAGCATGACTTTGCTCCAGCCTGGCTTAATTTTCCTACTCCACCATCATCAACAAAGGTGTGTTTTTTGTTGTTCTTTTGAACAGGCACTCTCATTATTAGAGAAGTCTGAATGTCATAACCTCAGTCATAGTACAAATGCAAATCTCTTTATAGATAGGGCAATAACAGATGATATTTGTCAAGTCTTCTTGTTGTGATTTAGGTAGTTGTACTGTGGTTGTCAGTCTCATACCTCCGGTAGAGTTTTTTGCTTGAGCAGTTGAGTTCATGGAAATAAGGGTGTGCCTGACCACATTATCAGAGCTGTTGCTGGATTAAGATTGCCTTCATCAAATGTTTAAAATTAATTACTGTATTTTGTGTTAGAAGTACCAAGGCATGTGCTTGATGTTCTTGCTTCTGATTTTGCTCTGTGTCCTATAAATTTTATGGAGGTGTTATTCTGTCATCCAAGTGATTAAAAAAACTCTCTCTTCAGTTGCTGGTGGGCTGCTTGTTACTACTGGTGGAGTGCGGTGCTATTTGTCCAATAGTTGTGCATCTTCACTGTGTTTGATTCATCTAGTCTACTGTTACTCACTTTATACAATGGGACAGTTAGCTTGGAAACAGTAAATAGCAATCTCTGAATCGTTAGGATTTGTAAATATTCTAGGAAGTCATAAATATGCTTGTCTAATAGATGTTTCTTTTTTCTGGCCTATCCTTCTACTCTTTCTTAATTTGTGTGAATGCAGAAGCAGAGGCAGCACTGGATATTCAAACTCCTGTCATTTATTTCCCTATTTGTAGACCTGTTGTCTTCATTATAATCTTTTGAAAGCAGTATCCATATCTGCAGCTATGAGAGTGACATTGCCTTACCTTAATCTGTTTATGTAAGTTTCTTGCTTTATTTCATGTCCATGGAAAATCTTTAGTCTTTATAAACTTATGGAAATAGGCTTGTGCTATTGTTAAATGCATAGTCAGCTGCTAGTATTAGTTGTGTTGCCATTGCTTTACTTCTATATGCCTACACACACACATGCATTTTGTTAGTCAGGTCATTGAATGTCCTTATTCATATTGCTCTATTATCTTTCTTTTACACTGTGACCTAGATAGTTTCTTTGTTTAGTATAGTCTATCAGCAACTCTCAGTTGCTGTTCTAGGAACATCAGGCCTATCTGTTCCAGGATGGTTCCTGCAATCTGTTTGTTTTCATTCTACTTGATTTCTGATATATTTAACTCTTTCGGTCTGGTTTTTCG